GCCGCCGGCGGCGGGGGAGGGGGGAGGGCGGGGCAAGAGAGGGGGAGGAGGAGGAGGAGGAGGAGGAAGAGGCGACAACGGAGCTCAGCGGCTGCAGCAGCCCCGTCACCTCAGCTACTTCCTCCGACAGGACCCCGCGCTCCCCCGGGGCCGACTCTGGATTCATCACGGTGGGGTACAGAGGGACGTACACCATCAGCAGAGACATCCAGGCGGATGCCAAGTTCCGCCGGGTGGCCAGGATAACCGTGTGCAGTAAGATCTCTCTGGCCAAGGAAGTTTTCGGGGAGTCTCTGAACGAGAGCCGTGACCCGGACCGCTCCCCCGACCGGTACACGTCCCGGTACTACCTCAAATACAACTTTCTGGAGCAGGCGTTTGATCGGTTGGCCGCGACGGGCTTCCACATGGTGGCGTGTAACTCCACCGGGACCTGCTCTTACGGCGGCAACGACCCGGGGGAAGACAAACTGTGGACCAGCTACACCGAGTACGTGTTCTGCCGCTGAGGAGCCCAGAGTCTGGGTGTTGGGGGGGGGGTATCTGCTGGCACAGATAGTTACATGTCAGTCATTATCAACACGTATGCTGATGATATGAAGGGAGAAGGAAATATATAAGCAAACATATATTCATTTTCCCATCTTTTGTTATATTGCCTGTCCTAAATTGCATTTTAGGAGATGCAGTCTACGTTAAAAACGTACGCTCAATTAAAATTGGCGCTGTGGCTTAGTCGCCATGCATACATGCTACATACACATTAGTACAGACTGTGTACTACAGACTTTTACTATAAAACAACTGTACGCATGTTAAGCTTTGGGCCACATAAACAATTGTGGCAGACCACATGCAGCCCACAGGCCTCAGGTTTGACCTGAGTTAATAATGTTAAGTGAGAGTAGCTCATGTTTTGTTGCTTCTCATGAAGAAATGTCATGACTTTGTCTTAGTTCCTCATTGTCGGCTGTTTCCTCTATTTGAAATTGTAAAAGTCGTTAGCCTCGCAAAGAGTTCACAGAAACGACATCATGAAAGTTCTAGTTTTAAATGAGTTAACATTCAAAACTTTCTTATTAAGAATTTAAACTAACACTGGGTTATTAACCATTTCACAATTCAAAATAACATTTTCCTTTTTTGAAAGTAATAGTTACTATTTTTAGGTGTTTTTTATTAATATGTGATGGTCAATATTTTGTAACAAAGTGTAGTTTGTAGTAACGCTGGATTTTTTTTTAACTTTTTCTACTTGAGGATAAAGAACAACGGCTGGATAATAACAACAGACAACAACAGACAACAACACCATCAGTCTGCAGAGCAGTGGGCCGTCACAGGCACAGAGGCATTAATGCTTGATGTGAAACTGTGCGGTGGACGTGATGTATTTGAATTTGTGTAGAACTCTAATTTGTCCGACATGCTCTGGACACGTTAGTGATGTCATCAGTGATGTCATCAACAGATTGTACTAGTGTTTCGTATCAGACGGTAATTAACTGTCGTTTTTTTCACCAATGTCGATCTTCACTGATCTCTGCTCATGTTGTAAATACATTTTAAAAGATCTGGGTCCGTTTCTGCTGAAGACCTGAACTGTGTCCCTTCACTACACAGTCAGAGTGTTTGACTTCAGCAGCCGGGGTGACTTCTGCTTTTCAGATTTCAACATCAGACTCTTTCCAAATGTGTGGTGTCATGGAAAGCTAGTCCTGAGGAGTTACTGTCTTCTGTCTACTACAGTCTACTGTGGTCTACTACTGTCTTTGGTCTATTACGTTCTACTATGGTCTACTACAGTCTACTCTGTACTACTGCTTAATAAAGTAATCATTCTAAAATGTCTAAAATTTTTGTCAATTTCTGGAAATGAAAGTGAACTCTTAACACTATTTTATATGAAAATATTTTCAGTCACAAGTACACATTTACAGTATTTGCTGGACTGGCCTGATCCTAAACCACTGCAGCTAAAGGATTTATATAGACACACATATATAAATACATATATACACATATATACAGTATATACTCATATTACATAACATTTTACTGGATTTCCCCAGTCTGGGATAAATAAATGTCATGTATATATACACTGTATATACGTATATGACATATATATGTACAGTATGTGTGTGTGTAGTATATATATGTATAACACACATATATGCATACAACATATATATATACACATATATACTGTACATATACGTATATATACACACATATATACTGTACATACATACTGGTCAACACAAATGCTGGAGCAGAACTTCGGTTTCTGAAACATGCATTTACTCTTTTTCCATGTAACCTTCTACGTGCATCCAGAACCATCCGTGGCTGCAGACTGAGACACAAGAAGAAGCCACAGGCTTCTAGGCTGACTGCAATGAAGCGACAGACGCAGAGCGGTCCAGAAGAAACCTCCTCCTATCTGCAGTCAGCTGAAGCTGCCATCTGGACAGGAAAGAGGAAAGACTGACCACAAGTCTTCCTCTAGTGAGATTACCAGTAACAGCACATCAGACTCACTCCTCTCCACCAGAACAAGACACACTTGTCCTTGTCTTTGTTTAAAAGATGTGTGTGTGTGTGTGTGTGTGTGGAGGAGGACATGATCACAGAAGATTTGTTTTAGACATTACACGGAGACCGTGTGATGTTTGAAGGACAAATGTTGTTCAACATCCACTTTTGTCTTTTACGTTTCCTGAGTAAATAACATTTTTAGAGCGGGTTTCGAACTCGCAGCTCTTGGTCTGATTACATGCTGCATGTCCTCAGTGTTAAAACACCTCCCAAACACATTCCACTGAGTGTACAGTATTTACTGATTTGACACACTGAGTGTACAGTATTTACTGATTTGTTTTTTTCCTCTGACTGCCAAGTGTTAAATGTAAATGTGAAACCGTACAGAAACACTGAAGGAGAGAGAGGAGAGAGGGGAGAGGAGGTAGGAGGCTAAATTAGTAATTTACAGTGGAGTTGAGATAACACAGACATGCTGGCTTTGCTCATATCGCTCTTTGCGAGCAGAATGTTTCACACTTTTCTTCACACTTTGCCTCTGTATCTGTGACCAAGGTGTTAATGACGCTTTTTACATTTTAAAAACTGTTTGATTATCCTGGGTCATAAGAGAATGAAAACGAGTGGACAAAATGACAATGGCTTCACCAGATAAAAAAATGTATTTTGAAAAAAAAGTATTTAACATTAGGTCACTGTGGCCAGTACTGGACAAAGAGTAAAGTTAAAATGAGGAATGCTAAAAAGATGAAAAGACAAATGTTTGTCTGGAAGTAGATGTTAGCAAAAAGAAAAATGATGACGTAGCTCAAGACATAAAAGACAAATGTTTGTCTGGAAGTAGAGAGAAAGAAAATGACGACGTAGCTCAAGACACTTACGTACATTCATACAAACATTCATACATAAATACACAGTATATACATATATGCATATACAAGATATCTATATATATTGTATATGCATACTGTATATAATGTATAATATATGTATACATATATATATTCTCTCACGTTTGCACCAGGACTTGATTGTGAGTAAGAAGCTCATGCAGCCAATAGATTTTTTCTTCTCTCTCTCTCTCTCTCACTCACACACACACACACAGAGGCAGTTGTTTCTCTTATTCTAAGCTAATCTGTGCGGTGACCTTGGGGTCAGCACACAGACTTGACTGTTTGAATAAACCGTCTGGCTAATGTAAAGTACAGAAACTGTAAAACAGTCATCGCTGACATCACTGCCGACAGAGTCAGACTGTGTTTCCTGAGCATTAGAACTGGTTTGTTAACAGTGTGTGATCAGGCTGTGAAACCAACCAGGCCGTCCTCCGATACAGAACAAATCTCAGTGTGTTTGGATGAAGAGGAGGAGGAGGAACGTTCTTATCTGTTTGTGTGACTTTAAAGTGGACATAATACATCTGTGACCTTTCCTGACTTTTACAAAACAAATATCCAGAAGATCTCTCTGGGAACAGAACTCTGGCCAAGTCACTTGAACTGGTCATCCTCAAGAATCCACTGACACACCCAGTTCACTCTCTTTATTCTGAATTATGTGCGTGTTTCTGGTGCAGCTATACTTATAGGGGACATATTTTTGTAAACAATCTTTCTCTCTTTTCTTCTGCAACCTTTTGCCCCGACCCCTCACTTTGTGAACAACAACGAGCTCTGCCTCTAACTTTACAGCAGTACAACACACACAAAAAGGCTCTCGATACATTTATTATTTTACGGCTGGGCGACTTAACGCGTTATTAACGCATTCAGTCATTAATTCATTTACGGAGACAATTATTTTATCGTGTGCTAACGCGCTTTTTTATAAATTATTTCTAATAGAGCGGCGTTTACTTTATAAAAGTCCGTGCGTTACTGGTGCCGCGCTCACAGAAACCGGAAAAGAAAACTGACGTTTCACAAAACCTCGCCCCCATACGGCCATTGTCCAATCACACATCCTAGCAGCCGTTACTATATAAACAAAGTGTATAAAGCCTGACCGGTGAAGCGGTGTTCCTACCTGGTGAACTGGTTTAATCCAGAAGGTATAGTGAAGAGTTCGTCCATGTTTCTGTGAACACCCATGATGCAACACTCCCAACATTCCCTCTGACATCCGGTCACATACGGCTAGTAACCGTATAAACATGGTCATTTACCCAGTTCAGCTCGACCTGTTCTTGCCTGTGCCAATATTTTACTATATTTTCCCGCCACAATATTTACCATAACGACAGACGTGATGTCTCTTCCGGTCACGGCGCCGCTCAGCCACTCGGGTCCCCAGTCTCCAACTCGGCTCCCGGGTCACCTCAGGTTTTTCATGGGGCGGTCTCCCTGGGGTCTCAACAGCGCCAACAGCTAACGCTGGTGTAACACCCGCATTACTGTTAGCCCTGCGGAGCGATAACACCGGCACCGGTTTAGTTTACACCGGTGAGACAGTCGGTGTAAACTAAACTTCATTCTACAAAGATACAAAGAAAAGCACTTAAAAGAAAACAACAACACAAATACAAGCGAGGTTGGTTAAAGGTAAACAAATACGGCAAATTAAAACCCTGCGTGAAACCAAAATATTGCACAACATTGTGTTTTTACTCGGTGATTAAGTTAAATCACTGGTACCTCGACAAGTCCCCAACTGTCGAAATAAACATAATAATAATAATAATTCTAAATTAAAAAAAACTCTGAGACTCTGGTATCCTCACCTACATCCTTTACGGGTTCTCAGTGACCCTGACTTCCAGTGACAAAGCTGAGCCATGCACTCTGTCAGTGAATTGAAAAGGTAAAAGGCTGCCAGCGGAAGAGAGGGGGGCAACCCCCCCCCCCCCCCCCCCCTGCTGTGAATGCACCACAGCAGGCTTCCTCTTACTTCAAGAGCAGACTCTCTCTGTATGTCTCTCTCTCTCCCTCTCTCTTTCTGTTTATCTCTCTGAAAGGCCAGGACACTGAGGAAGCTGCTCCACAGTCACCGCTGCATCACAGTAATCTGTGAAGACAGACAACAGTTAAACATCCAGTTACTGCATCCGTTTGGAACAAAGTGTTTCCTGTCAGAGAACGAGGGAAGAGAGGGTGAAATACACACCATTTCTGTATGCATCGTCCTCTTTACTGGTCCTTCAGCTGGTTCTTCAGCTGGTCCTGCTGCATTTCTGAGGCTGTTCTTAAATTCAAGGTTCTAAACAAGGGGTGCATGGAGCTACTTTGGGCAAAGGATTTACAGTGGTTTTCCTGCAACCACCAGGACCAGGTTTCTACCTGGTTTGGGGTCATGTTCTGGTTGGCACCAGAACAGAAAAAAAATATTAATTCATATTTTAGCAGTTACTCATTTCCAGGAGAGTTGGAGCCAATGGGGGCGGGGCTACACCCTGGAAAGGAGAACTGTAGAGAGATAGTACAAATGCATAATCCAGTTAAGGTTAGAATTTATTTTGTCTTAGTGACAAAAGACCCTTGAAAACCAAAAGTAAAACCTCTCTAAACCACAGATTTGAGGATCAAAGCCAAAGTCAGGAAACTTAACAAAATAACATTTCTCAAAAACTGGAGGACCAGATCCTCAGCCAAGTACTTTAGAAAGCAGCTTTGAATCAAAGTGAGAATATAATGTTGTTTTTCTTGTGCTCGAAGGAAACAGTTGAGGCTTCAGAAATTCTTCAGATTCTGTTGTGGGTCAGGGTTTTCCACTTGGCTGCTCCGCAGTGATGCATCGGAGACCAGCAGCCCTCAGATCCCTCCGAAATGAAAGCTTGACAGGGTTTTTTCCCCCTCTAAACTAACAACAAAAAAGTACAGAGTTGGGTAATTTTCACAGCAATGACTTCTGGGATTGACTCCAGATCCCCGCACAACAGCGGGAGCGTAGGGGGGAATCTGGAGATATTTTTATTCACATTTTGCCCCTGAACATATGGAGCACATCACAAATGCCTGACAATGTGTGGAAATTACCCCCCCACCCCCCAGGGGCCCGAGCAGAAACAGTTACTATAAGTCAGTTTGGATGTTTTCCACATGAATGTTTGTTTATCTTGTTACGTACGACTAAGTTCAAGGCTTCTATTAACCAGGATGAAAACACAGTAGAAGAAGGAGGTTGTAATCTGAGGATACGTTTGAATCCTGGTCATGACTCTCCTCCACTCCTCAGAGACAGGAACAAAGTGCAGCCCCAACTGCTTCTGTCAGGGTTAGTCACTGTTTCGGTTGGCATGAGTCAGAATACTTCCATCCATCCATCCATTTTTGTCCACTTATCCATTACCGGGTCGCGGGGGCAGCAGTTGCCACCCAAATCACACTGCACCGTGATAACCGCCCCTGAACCTTCCTTCGATCTTGCCCAGGAGGTGAACCCTGGGGTTCCACACCAATGACAGAGACATTGCCTCTGGGCCAAAGCACCACTTAGAACACTTCAAAAATAATAATAAAAGAATTCTTATTGTTTGCACACTGCTGCACTGGTCGTAATTAACATCCTTCACCTCTTATTTAATTGAAAATAAGTTTGACCAGCGGTGATGAGTTCACTTCACTTCCATGGATAAAATACCTGAGCAAATTAAAGGTAATTCTTTCATTTTTGCCCAAGTCAGAGACTTCAGCTATTTTTAGGAACACCTTTGTTCCATATGTGAGCTGCTGTCTACAGACCTAGTGTCAGATGTCGTAACCTGAACTTGGCATTTTTTTGCAGAAAGCTACTTCCCCAATTTGAAAGGTCAGGAAAGACAAAAACCCCCCAGCTCTTCGTCTTTGCTTTATCATGTCCTGTACACAGCACCAAACCCAGGAACATGATGACTGAACATTTCACCAACCTCACCACTGAGACACAACTCCTGATATCACACAAAAATATTCTGTTTTTACTAGACATCTACAGGAGTCAAACACCACGCTCCTCTACCAGTGTTTACATTTACATTTTTACAAGCTTCAAAGACGAGCATGTTTGCCAAGGGCGCCATCTGCTGGAAAGAGCTCAGCTGTAGTATAATAAATTAAATGTAAAATAACCTACTGAACACTGATACTGTGAAGGAACAGCCGAGCTTCATCACACCTGCGCTCAGTTCACTCAATCAGAAAGACCATCAACAATTGGAATCGAACTCATGACCCTTTGGTTGTAAGGCAGGAGCACAAACTACTTCAAGTGTACAGTCTTTGCTGCAGTACAGAAACTTTGCTTGTTGTATAACTAGATATGAAAATCACTAGCTTTTGCTGTAAGACAAGCTAACGGCCAACAACTACTGCCACCTTTTGGCCAAAGAATGTTTATCTGGAGAAATGTAACTTCGTCATACAGTCAATTTGAGGCCAGAACGCAGGTTACAGTACACACACACGTTTAGGAACCACATCATCAGAGAAGTCTGTTCAGAACCAGTATTTAAGGCTGGGAATCACTGCACAAGGGAAAAAAAAAAAGCAGTGATAATGTTCAGTTCACTTTATTTACAAAACAAACAAATTGGACGACAACTCATTTATAATGTGACAAATAGAAGAGGATGACGATGTGACGGTGAAGTGAAAACAGTGATTTAACACAAATTAAACAGTGTCACCATGTGTGGACTAATGTTAATATTATATTTATTATATGTTATGACTAAAAGATAAAGATCAGAACCAGCACTAATGTATAGAATCAAGACAATAATTCAACCTAGTAACAATCATAATGACTGTATTTTATATATTAATTCATCCAGTAAATTAGCAGGAATAGAAACATTTTTTTCTCTCACAGACTGAAACGACTCTGATGTGGTTCAAAGTGTGGCTCACAGCTTGGCTCTTAGTAATGTTAAAAAAGTGTTCTGTGATGTTCATTCAGGTTCTTACTCAGTGATCTGGAGCCGCTCCTGTGTGACTGGCATCAGCATCTGGAATATTAACACACAGTTTCACCTCAAGGTTTGGTTTTCAGATCTAAAGACAGACTCAAGACTGGACACGGAGCTCGGCCTGTGACGATGACTAACTCTGCTGGACAATATATTGTCCAGAAATTAACTAATATTATCAACATTATTCTGAGGCCAACTTAACCACAGACGTAACCATAACATAATAATAAAGGTCAAACATTTTCTTTAAGATTTTCAAATATCGCAGGGTACCTGAATATTTTTTTGCCTGTCGGGTTATTCTATTACAAAGTTATGAAGCTTTTGCCTCGTAGCGAACTACACTTTCTAAGACTCGCACCATTTTGTGTTGTTCTGTTTGTATCGACTTTGTCGACCAATCACCTCAGTGAGTGTTGACTGTGGGGACGAAGGCTCTTCATCTCCAGCTTCAGTTTTTCAGTGTTCAGTGCCTTTTTGTTTCCACCACACTGGCTCTTCAGTGTGTGTTTGTGTGTGTATTCTAGTGGCCCCACCTCCCCCCACAAAGAGTGGAGGACTGACAGAGGGTTCACTCCACTCAGTCCTCTGCCTCTTTGGAGGCAGGAGACGAAGACAAACATGGAAATATGTTGAGGCTGTGAAACCTTTGTTTTCATTTACTGTGCAATCAATGGATTTATTGATTATTGTCCCAGGCCCACATGGAGTCTCAGCAGGATATCAATACTCACATTTGAGCCAGACACGGCAGCGTTAACCGTGGTGCCACCTGCTGTAGGTTCCAACCGGGACTTCAGCCTCAGTTCCTCTGAAACACTGGACACGGTCCGTACACTGGGGAGAGGGACAATCTGGATGAGTTTCCTTAAACAGCAGTGATCGGATCTTTTCCACCGACGTTACCACATTTTAAAAAAAGTTAAAAAAAATAAAACACCTGCTGAAGTGAGTGGAGTCCATGGACAGATTTTTCCGGCACAGAATTCCTCCAGTGCTGTAGCGGGAGGAGGAGTTCCTGGTGGGAGCACAGTAACCTGCAGCAGCAGAGTGTGGACGAGGACTGCCCCCTGTGGCCACAGAGGAAGTGGACTGGTGCAGAGACTCCAGGTCGTCCAGGGACTCGTACCTGCAAACAAGTGACTGAGGTTTTTGTTATGGTACAAAAAAGTAAACATCTGAATTTTATTATCATATATTTATATAACATTTATAACCAAAGTGTAAACTGTTTGTTTTAAGAAATAAACTTTGCCTTAAGTTTTCAAACAAACTACTATAAAGCACAAGGTTCAACAAGAGGTTCCACAGGGAGTCAAAAAACTTTTCTAAAAGAAAAAAGTCAGAAGGAAACTCAGGAAACAGATTTTATTTTATTAAAAGAACAAAGACAGAACCCAGAACCCACCTCTTCAGGGGAGAACCGACACAGATGGGTTCTTTGTAGAAGCTGCTGCTGCGCTGACGTATCCAGCTGTTGTCAGTCAGCAGCTGCGTCCTCTTCTTCATCTCCTCCAGGATCTGCTGTCTCTCCTTCTCAGCCTTGGACAGACTCTGACCTTTTCTTCTCCATTGCTCACCTTGACCACAGGGTAAACATTTTTAGTCTAGTTCTAAACCCAAACAATACAGAGCGTCATTAAAAAGATGAGGAACTCACCTTTTATCTGTCGGTGACAGTCGGCCAACGCTGGGGTGGACAGAGATTTGGCCCTTCAAGACAGAACAGAGAGTCCATGTTACTGAAAAAATCTAATAATTTTAGAACATGAGGGTTCCCAAAGTGGGGGGCGCAGAGCTACAGCGGATTTTCTTTATGTAAAACACTTAAAACTGATAATTTCATTGACCAAAGTTCAGCTGAGGTTTGAAGCAAAAGCTGGAAATTTGGGAGGGCAGGGGGAGGCCGGGCCAGACAAATACTTTTAGAAGTACTGTAGTACTCTGTAAGGTTAGGGACCGTGGAGAAGCTGGTGCTCTGACCTGTGTGCAGGCGACAGCTGAGTGAAGCCATAAGAGTCTGCAGCCCTGAGGAACGGCACAGAGAGCATTAGATCCCAGCAAAGACAGCAGAAAGTACCAGACAGAACTGTTGGCAGCAGCAGACGTGAGTCACAGCAACAAGGCAAACATGAGAGGTAGAAGGATTTATGGAGGAAACTGTCTAAAATAACTCCTTTTTACTGAGCAGAGCGGAAAGAAAGAGCAGAGATGATTGTTGCTCATTTTACCATCTTTGTTCAGTGACGCTCTGAACTTCCTGTCTTCTACCGTCCACTGTTGGTCCCACTTGTTTCAGCTCCTTGATGTCAGCGCTCGGCACTTTTCCTTGTCTGTGAGTCAGGGTGTTCACCTGGTCTATGACGGGTCTGCTGGTCTGCTGCGACTACACACAAACACAGATGAAAGTGCAGTAAAGAGGGAAAAATCCTAAAATCTAACGTAAAAAAAAGTTTAATTTTCGAATTGTGTTATGTTTTTAGTTATTGTGTTTTGACTAATCTCTCCACTAGTTGGTGTCTTCACCTCAGAACCGGGTCCAGACCTGACTGTGCTGTTTTAAGTATTTACCACCAAATAAAATCTGTTTTCAGCACAATTTGGCACCCCATCATCTGCTCTTTTGGGTCTATTCTTAAATTTAATTTAATTTTTGAAGTCTAAAGTCTATTAAGGCCCCATCATCTGCTCTTTTGGGTCTATTTTTTAAATTTAATTTAATTTTTAAAGTCTAAAGTCTATTAAGGATCATCATCAAGGATTTTAGCAATATTAAAAATCCATTAAGAGCTATAAAAAAAAAAAAGAAGCGTTAATCACTCTGAAAGTCTACAGCTGATTAGCACAGCCCCCGTGGTGACCAGTATCTAATCAGCACTTTCACTGTTGTTCAGTTATGACTAATGATGAACTGCGTCTTTACCCCTGATGTTGGCCTGCAGCCCACGTTGGCGTCCTGCTGCGCCTGTTTCCACTCGGCCTCCAGCCGTTCCTGATCTCGTTGGTACTGCTCCTACAAAAAACAAAACAGATTTAAACATCTTAACATGGACATTATTAAGAAGTGAACGTCCTCACAGTGGTTCCCAACTTCACCTGTAGAAGGCGCTCCTGCTCTTCCTGCCACTTTTCCTGCCTGCGACGATCCTCCTCGCGGTCCCACGACCAGCTGGAGGAGGAGGGGCTGAGGGAGGGCACCTGGAGCTGCTGACACACGGACAGACTGTAGTCTCTGTTCATTACAAACACAAACACACGGCTGATGTTTTCTGACACGATCTTTGATGAACTTACATCAGATATCGCAGAGCTCGAACCTCCTGTGGGAGAAAAAAAACAATTAAAAATCAACAGTTTAAAATGTAGGTAAACGGAGCAGAATTATCAAAAAAAAAAAGTCAAACAAACACATCAAAACATAAAAGGAAACACAAATGACAAACATTTTCAAAAAAATGTTTAAAGACATTGTTAATTGGAATAAAATTGCTCCCCCTGTTGACCACTGAAACATATCAATCCCACTGAACTCCCCCCAACACTACATTCTCTGCCTGTTTTTATTATTAATACAAACAATGATTTTGTTGTGAGGCGGGAACAGGAACAGCGTTGATAAACGTTGACGTGACGAAGACGAAATAGGATTAAAGTAATTACAGTTTTGGCGCGTTTGGCAGCGATATCAGAAACGTGAAAAGAATCACATGTTGGAGAAGTTCAAGCTGCTGACAGTCACGACTACTGGATAATTTCCTGTGTTGCTGCCATCAGCAGTCCCACTGCCTCCTTCCACAGCTCATGTATAATTTTATTTGAGGTTGCCTTTAATAACAAACATCTTCAGCCAACATCCAAACCATCGTTTGGATGTTGGCTGTTGTTTCCTGTTGAAAAGCTAATTTTGCAGGAAGTTTTTCACCCAACAATTTTCATGAATAAACTTGTTCAAAATTCACTAAATCTTAAAAGTCTGAAGAGTTAGGTATCAGATGAGACTGAGATATTAAAAAGTTTTGACTTCCTGTACCAACACCAGGGTGGGGCAGGACTTTACGTCACCTTCTGCCCAGACCTCAGTGACTCAGGGTGGGTACAAGTTAATGATCCCTGCCCCCTATTTTACCTCAGCAACCCCCTCGTCCCCCAGGAGACACATGCACACCAAACATTTCTGGACGCTTTCTGGACACAAGAACGTGAAAGTGTTAACTTGTGTATGAGTTGGAAACACTACGGTTTTCAGCATTTATTTTTAAAACCGGGAGTCGAATAGAAAATGAGAGTTATAAAATCAAACAAGAATACTCCTCAGTAACAGAGTGTGTGAGTGGAGCAGCAACCATTCATTTTTTTTCCTTTTTCAATTTAACATTTATTTATCCAAAGCTCCATGTTTCTGATGTGGACAGGAGAACTGCTGCAGGACACAGGACTACGCCCCCTCATTGATCACCCCTGGTCCACTACACTCACATGCTCTGGTCAGTACAGATACAGACATCACTGAACACAAAAAAACCCACACATTTACCACACAAGTACACCCATGAGCTGAAGCCTGCAGAGAAAAGCCAGTGCAGAAAATACAGAGAGTTAAAGAACAATTACAAAAAGACAAGTCATCAACCAGAAGAATAACACACAGAAAAGCTTTTTTTTTTTTTTTTTTTTTAATCGCTGTCTGTGCTAAGCAGCAGCCACCAGAGCTTCTTCACAGAGAGCAAATATTAAAACCTAATTGTTACCTGTCTGTTTAAAAAACTCGGCCCTTCTTCTATGATTGGTTTTTGTCATTTTTACATACTCACGTCGGCGATTCGTGTATAAGCCGACCCCCCAAATTAATCCCAAAATGGTGATTTTCACAAAAACGCGCATGTAAGCTGACCATAAAGTTTTTTTCTGTGTGCATCAACAAGGAATTAGAAAATTATCAAGGTAAACACTGTTTAAATAATATAACTATCTCGCCTCTACTTCGCAGATTTTCCCTTTTCGCGTTGGGCCTTGGAACGCAATTACCGCGATAGGAGAGGGACCACTGTATATCAGTGGTACAGTTAAATATATTTCTGACTATTTCTAATTTATAGTCACGATCATGTAAACATAACAGCTCAGTCTTTACCTTCACTTCTGGTGTACGTCTTGTGTCCGTCAGCAACCACAGCATTGTTGTCTTTGTCTGGCATGATCTGTCAAAGTGGAAGAGGAAAAAAAAAAATCCAGTGTACAACTACAGTTTATGAAAAGTGGGTTTTATTTACAACATCACTCACATTGTCCTTCTGCCCACTGCGGTTCACTGAACCGTTGACTAGATGACCCATCAGAACAGGTGCCCGTGTCAGATTGAGTGTCACCCGGTGCTGGCCTGGTTTAATATGATGACCATCGTCGGTGCCACTCCAATCTGACAACAACAACAGCAAGAACCCTGAATGTATGGCTCCATGGTGTGATGTCAGTTTTTCATTAATGAATATATATATATATATATATATATATATATACACACACACACACACCTTTCTGTTATAGTCCATCTTATTACCTGTGTTTCCATAGCGGCGGATGTCCATTATTAGATTTCCTGTTTGCAGAGCAGAACTCATTTTTTCTTCCCACTGCCTGTTGTTCATCAGAGAAACAGCAACGCCATCGACCGTCACGATCTCATCGTCCGCACACAGTTGACAAAGCTCAGCTGGACTTCCTGTTGTCAGAGGGACAGACAGAAGATGGAAAACAAGGAGCGTTTTGGTCACATCAGGACAGAGGCGCTGAGGACCTTCAGGAGTGTCTTTGATTTTTGAGGAATTATACTTTAAGGTACAAAGTCTTTGAAGTTGGTTTCTCCAAACACCTTGGAGAATCAACCACAGAGCCTTCAATCAACCCTTCACCTGCTCAGGTCATCCCAGAGAGACACTATGGTTTGGAGGATCAGGGGTCTGTGGGGACTATCATCAGGTCCAGGACTCTACTGGATCTAATTTTTCTACACAATCCTAGACTTCCTTTATTGTACTGCATTATGGAAGTGCTATCTACCTGTACGTCTCAGCTTCGAGGAAAACATTAATCAGGATCCAATATCAAATTCCCCAAAAACTTGGCCTGAACCCCCACAGAGCTGTTCACTATTTCTAACAGACACTCTTTGAAATTCCATCCCAGTTCAGAGCACCTGCTGCCACCTGCTGGACTAGTGTTTGGCTTCTCTATGACATGGAAATTTATAAAAACAAATCTGCCTTAAATTTTTGCTTAAAAAAAAACAAAACGAAACCTACTGGTACCATGGTACTTGATAAAGAACCCTGGTCAGAGCACAGAGTCATTCTGATTAGCAAGCTGCAGTTCTGGGTTTAGAAAGTAGGCCAGGAGAGCAGGAACTTCCACAGCAGCAGGTAACTGACACCTCTCTTACACTTAATTAAACATTTATGGTTGAGTTTTAAATCACACATGACACATCCAGAACCTGTGGTCCCGTGAAAATGAGCCACATCATCATTTCCTTATGCTCTTCTTCATCATCATCATCAGAGACACTTTTAATTACATTTTTGTTAAACACCAGCTATTCATACATCTGCCTCAGTGCACATTAATCCACTGCACAGCCATGATGATCTGGAGTTCCGACCCACTAACATTTATCTCTTTATTCTGAAACAACAATCATCTGGTTTCTGTTCCAGGGGAAGGAGAAGACAACAACATTTTTTTTATTTCTGTAAGGAGGGGAATACTACAAGAGCACAGAGTAGTATTACCTGCTGTAATGAAGTACATGCAATATCAAATGACCCATGCAGTATACAAATACACAGCCGTACATTCACTGATGCATGTGACAAAATTTCAGCAGCACATAATTAAAAGGTGACCGTCTTACCGGGTTGAATGGAAGTCACTCTCAGTCCGGTGGAGTCCCAGTGAGTCTGGAGACCAAAGTCCGGTCTGCTGCTGGGTCTCAGGCTAATGCTCACCCTCATGTTACTGTGATCCACCTGGAAATACCACAGGTAAAGGTGACACCGTGATCCAGTGTCATGAGGTGAAATCAAAGATGGCTGCAGCACTCTACAGGGTTAGTCCGTGTATTTGGATGTACTTGTATGAAGTGCTTCATTATAGAAGTGTTCATGTATACAGAAGCACACATATATACATGCATACACATGATATATGTAATATATATACGCATACATATCTCATTCATTTACATATAGTTATACACAGACACACAATAACAACATGAATACATTGAAAAATAGTGAATATTTTATCACCTCAACAAAAACGTTCCAGATTAAACCTATTTGGAGTTTGCAGCAAATGAAACAGGTATTTGTCTCGGTGTCAAACTGATGTTTTTTCACTGATTATTTTACATTGGTGCTTCATTAGGCTTGCAATCACTTCCACATTAAACCTTTCTAGACACACAAGGGATAATTAGTGTGTTGGATGTTGCTAGGCTACAGAGATGGTTGCATTCCTGATCACTTGTCCATTAGGGTTCTCTGATGTGGTGTCTGGTTAGGAGATGACATTTAAACGTTTTCATACACTACATGTTCAGACAGACAGGACTGAGTACCTTTGATGAAGGCAGAGTTGAGCTTTTCTTCTGCTGCGACTTCTGATTTGCATAGAATTGCGGTGACGGCTGGTTGTGGTTGTATGGCTGATGGTGACGGATTCCGTTGGCACTGAAAGAAGTCTGGCTGGAGAGCCCAGCATCTCCTCTCTCCTCCTCCATCTGTTCAGTAGCCTTCTGCTTCGTCTCCTCGTCTCTCTCCTCCCTCAGGGAAGCCTGGCTGCACAGATTAGTGGCAGCGGTCTGTCTAGTTAATGAAGATCTGGTGGATTTGGGTAGAGGGTCTTCCTTCTCACAATTCAACAGAACACCATGACTGTAGTCCACCTGGAAGTCAGGAGACGAAAGGTCACAACTCTGGGTCAGGGGTCGGCACGTGTATGACTCAAACAGCAGATGCTGTTGTTAGACAAACTGAAAAAAGCATTAGGTGCAAATCACAGCCGTGGTCACAAGTCTTATCAATGAAAATGGCCGACTTTACTGGAGGTCGTTCAGTCGCACTCACGTTGTACATTCGTGGCAGTGACGTCACCCTCGACGGCCTGGTTCCGTAGGGTTTAGTTGTTACTGTCGATGAGGGACGGGATGAACCTTCGGACCGTCGGAAACCACGTGGAAGGCTGGCTGAGCCAGACCAGGACAAAGTACTGGACAAGTACTTGTGTACTCCTGTGGCCTGTTCCACGGTGCCTTTTTCCTCACCTTGTTCCAAGACGACACCTCCAGAAGAAACAGTTCCAGTAACAGCACCAACAGCAGTT